AATATACCCGCAGAGTAGATGAAGCATCTATAAATGTGATGTTTATGGTGAAATATAAATAGACAGCGACTTTTCTTGTAGTGTTCTGCTGAGTGCGGGATGGGCGTACGAACGCGAGATGTCTTGTGCTTGACCAATCACATCAGCAGCCTCCCTCTGGAGGGTTGCGGCAGCGAGCGACCTCCCGACTCTCAAGTGTGCGACACGGGCCCTTGCGACAACGCCATTGAGTGGTTCACCGGCCCCTGGAGCCAGGTATGAACACTCAACGAGGACGAACACGTGACTTTTCAAGCAACATTAAAGTTGCATGTGATTGTTTGCCAGTGTTCCGCAGAGTGCGGTGTGGGCAAGCAGGAGCGGGCGGTGGTGTGTCTCATGAGGTCCCGAGACACGGTTGCCGTGGCGCCCCAGTACGAGTGCTCGTCGCTGGAAAGACCGCTTAGCCAGCAGAGCTGCAACGTGAAAGCGTGCGGAGCAAAGTGGTACTACACGGAATGGAGCGCTGTGAGTGACGCCCCCTTGCGTACCATCACGCGGCATCATCATACACAACCTGGATCGTTTCCTCATTTACTAACAACTTCTTGTCAAAGAAGCCAAACCAAGGTAAAACAAATAGATGAAGAAAGTGAGAATGAAATAATCTGACCATCGGGACATGTTCAAGCAAGGCGTGCTCTCGAGTTAGCATCAATGGTGTCTTCAAATTTGGAAGCAGTCAATCGACCTTTTTAAAGGGTGAAATTCGGCACTTTGCCAGGTGGTGACATGGTGTGTAAACATGCGAACATGGACTTTGAAGCCCTAACCCTAGTTTAAAATCCTACTTTGAAACCGCAGCCCTAGTTTCCAACCCTCCTTTGAAATGAGCTGTATTTTAAACCCTACTTTGAAATCACAACCTTAGTTTAATTCCCTAATTTGAAACCTAGCCCTTATCCAAAACCCTACTTTGAAATCCTAACCTTAGTTTTAAACACTTGATATATCATTTTTACAGGCAGAAGTATTGCAGTTTCATGAAGGTGGATATTTCAAGCGTAAATGGAAAGGTTTATCAAATGTGTCTTTCGACTCCGCGTAGTGCTCCAAAACATGCGAGCGAGGATTCCGTGTGCGTGAGGTGCGCTGTCTTTCCGAAGATATGCAGTCCAGCACCAGCTGTGAGGAGCGGCTCAAACCGGCCGAACGGGAAGACTGCAACCCCGAACCTTGTGTATCTCAAATCGGTTGGTCTGAAAAACCGCACCAATTGCTTAGCTTGATTCCGACCCTGAGACTTGTGACATTTCCGTCGCAGACCAGCACTGCAAAGACGAGTACTTCAACTGCAACGTGGTGGTCCAGGCCCGCCTGTGCGTCTACGACTACTACAAGAAGACCTGCTGCGCATCCTGCTCTCGCCACCCCCACAGACACTCCGTGGTCCACAAGGGGCGCAGCTAACACTCATCGGGACAGGAAGTAAAAACATTTGCATGCGGCAAACAATGAAAATCCACTCAACAGATGGCACCAAGTTGAGGAAATGGCCTCTGTTAATCTATTCAAAAGTTCTGTCCACATTTGTCGGGTGCGTTCTTTAAGACCTTTTGCGGTCTGGGTCCTTCGAAGGCTCCTGCTCGTGTAGCTTGCGTGGACCGCATGAACTGTGGCGAATTAGGCCTAGCCAAGAAGAAGAACGCCGTAGAAGAAAAGCAGAGCAATGTAGACTACAAAAGTGTGCTTCGAAGCAAGCCTCAGGGCCCGTCTCCATTGTGAATTCGGACACTGGTGTGTGGTCGAGGCGCGTAGGAAATTATGCCTTTGACGGCTATCCAAATTCGTAGGCTGTGTAGCCTACAAATTTGCATACAGCCAAGGACGCATTCAAGAACACTGGGAATTTGGATTTACCCTATTATTTTTTTTTTTT